CACCCCATTTTGCAAGCGGACATTCCCCAATCAGAACTCCGCTGCATCGTAAGGCGTTGCAAGCGCGCTCGCGCGGTCTAAGGGGGCATCTGGCTGTAAGCGCGTGGGCGGTCGGGGATGGCTAGCCAAGCTTCCTGCTGGCCTCTGATGGGTCGTTTGGGAGGCCTTTTCCCAATCAACCCTTACCATGCGAACGGTGCCGCTTTCCGTATGCTGGGGCGGGTCAGTGACACTCGCCTCGGGAAACTGTGCCCTCGGGACGTATCGTGAAAAAATGCGAAAAACATCCCAGATCTGATGCATTTGGGCGTGATCTCCGATAAGGTTTTCTCTTAAACCCCTCGGACTTTCGATGTCTGCACGATGTGCACGGGGTCGCTGCCCAGGAAATCGGCCATTCAATCCGTCGGCGTGCGTGCATTCTGCATTTGCACCGCTTTAAATTGGAGCGTAAAAGCAACATTCCCCCTTGCGTCCAGGATGTCAGACACCATTGCAGAGCCTTCAGTGCGCTGACGATTACTTAGCCCCTCAGGAACCCTTTCACTGCCCTGCTCACCCCTGCTCAGATCTGCCCTCATGCCAATCCCACCATGGGGCTTCTCATCGCCATCCATCGCCGTTGCCAGGATGTGATCTTAAGCGTGCTGTGCTCTCGATGCCTCCAATTCCGCTTCTTCTTCCCGACGTAAAGCTTCCATCAAGCAGTCTTCCTCCAATTGTAAGCAAGCAGGATCTGGGCACCATGGTAGGTCAAGGTTGGTGTCCGGGCATGTCCCCGCGTAGGCCTTAACCTGATCCCTGCATATCCGATGCTGCGTCCAGCTATCTGCTCTGCAGGATCTTTCATCTTGTTCCACATCGCTCCACGCGATGAGAAGGGACTCCAGCATCTCGGCAAGCTCGTATGCCACGAAACTTTCCAACTTCCATTTTCTGAGCATGTACCGAACTTGGCTGACATGGTCACCCACCTGATGCTGCAGCTTTTCGGTCTCCACGGCTCGTTGGAGACGGCGGAAGAACAAAGCATTTTTGCCCTCTTGTCCCTGGATCGGCCAATCACATCCATCACGCACTGATTGCCCCAGCGAGGTTGTTGATGTTCTCTGCATAAAGTCAGCCGTGTTTCCCTCCTTTTCATTCCACGATGCGATTGCCAACCTCCACCCTTTCTGTAACAAGTCCATTGCGCGCGCACTGCGTTTGCGCGCCCACTTTGGGCACTTCCTTCGAATCCTTACCCAGGGGTTTAGGGTCCAGGGTTCACGGTCTAAGGGTTTAGGGGTCTAGGGTTTCGGGGTTCAAGGTTCCGGGTTCAGGTTTAGGTCTAGGGTCTATGGGGCTTAAGAACTCGCGTCGCGACGGTACGTGACACATCAACAGGACGGTTTGTTCTTGCTTTTGCCTGCCGCGGCCGCAGCCGTTGCCCTTCACTAGCAGCAGCACAATCGGCTGTCATCCTTGTCCCGTGGTCAGAATGGGGATTCCATGTGCACGGGCAGCGGTCGAAAGTAGCACCGGCCAAGCTGTATGCGCTGGACGGCCGAGCGGCTGTCGCATGGCCCACCGTCTTCAGTGGCCCTGAGGTGATTGCAAATGCGGCAGTACATGGCCGGATAGGGGCCCCTATGTCACCTTGAGTTCGGGCAAAAAACGGTTGCGGGCATGGGAACAATGAGACAAATGGGGTGGTTACTGCATTCATGTTTTTTTTGGTTTTGCGGACCGTTTTCCGATCTGTTGTTAGCCATCTGCCCTAGGTTTCCGCCTACCTGCGCTGCCCTACTCGCCTCTCAGAGGGAGTCGGCTCGGCCCTGCAGGAGACACGGGGTGGAGCAGGCGCTGGCCACGCGCAGCCCAGCGCCATGCTTGTGACCGTTTGCTGGACTGCGACTGCCAGCATACCCCACTAACGCCTTGACCACCCCGCAGCGGCGGCTGTCCTGACAGCGGGCGGGGCCCGGTGCGCAAGGTCCCGTACAAAGCGCGCGCCGCCTCGCCATTCCAGCGCCGCCGCGCCGACTTCGGATCCCAGCACAAGGAGGCGTAGGGGTCCAGCTCGGCGCAGTTCAGGGTAGGTGGCGTGTTTGCGGCGCTCGGCCGTGCGGAGCGCTGACCCATCCCATCTCCGCGGCGCCGGGCTGGGGCTGGCCTGCGCAACCAATTTTTTTGCCGCTGCGTGGTTGGAGCACGACCTGACCTGACCCGAACGCAAGGTCTGGAAAAAGGAAATGGTCTCACATCACGCTGTCAGTCAGTTGTACATCACCGCTGATACTCGCGACACCGCTGACAAAAATGTAACTTTAGTTTTCTGCGTTACAAACCTTGACTTGGTCCCCACAGCGCGCTCATTGCCCCTTGTAGGGCTCAGGTTCCCGGTGCGCACACGGATGGTACCAGCCAGTTTCGGCTAATGCGCGGCAGGGCACATTGGAGCGGGTCTATCGGATCTCTTGCCAGCGCAGGTCCGCAAGGCTGGGCGGGGGCTTTCGCAACATCACTGCCAGCGAGCGCTCGCTGCGCAGCCACCGAAAATGAGCCGCTGAACCCATGCACTGGCAGCATGGGCGCGCAGGAAGGCAGCTGCTTCGGGAGCCCAGCGCCTCTCAGTCTCCAGGCAAGGAGAGCAAGGCGCAACAGCAAGAGCGGGCAAACTCAAGATAAGTTTGCCGGCGCTTGCGCTTTGCCGTTGCGAAGAACAGCGTTGGCACGCGGATGCGGCATCCCAGTTTTCGAAATCGGGCTTGGTTGCATCAACCACGATTTGTAACCTTGTTAACCTCATTTTCCCCGGTCTCAACCGCGTAGCTACACAAGACCACTTTGGCGTGCATTGGAATTAAAACAGGTGCTCTGACCAGCTGTCAAAAGAACATTTAACACGCCGCCCTACCTGACAAGCACATGTTTTGCTTAGTGCTTCCAACTGTGTCGCTGCACTCCCCGCCCTCGGACTGTGTCCATCACGGACGTTCGTGCAGCGTACGCTCCCCAAACCGCAAGTATTTTTGCGGTGCTCTCTTTGGAATGTCGTGTTGCACCTTTCTATTCCTGAAATAATTATATGTGCACACGCGTCTTCTGAGGGAGTGAAAGGCAAGCCCCCAAGCGCTGAAAGAAAATGACCCTGCGGGGAAGGCATGTTGCTTCAAGCCATGTGGTATTTTGATCTTCGCTTGAATTTGCAGCCTGCTGTGAGACTGACGTATAGTTGCGCGAAGTCAGCAGTGGTGCATGCAATGGCGTTGGTCGAAAAGGCGCCTGCAAACGCCATGTTTGCACAGCAAACGCATTGCGCGGCCACATGCGAGGCCGCAGCCCGTGCGTCCGGATGTGGCAGGGGCTGTGGATGGGGTCGGGCGCAGCTGACATTCCGCCTCCCTATACGCCACAGACACCTGATGACTGACGCAGCGACCCCAGCGAATCGCTGTCAACCTTGAGCCATCATTGAAACAGGGAGTCTTCATTTTGCAGGCGCTGCTGAGCCTGGCATTGCGCCGGATGCTGCGAGAAGGCTTGAAATTGATACGGGATAGAAAAGATGCAACTGTCGTTATAGCGGGTTGAAAAATGTTTTTTTGTTCGCACCCAGGTTGCTGTTCCGGTCATGAGGTCAAGCACACATGCCGCCAGCGGAACTAGCCCGCCGCGTGGACCTCCTCGCCCAGCAGCAATGGGGCGAATTGTTAGCTGTTGCGTGCGTGTCAGCCGGCTAGAAGCCCCGCTGCAAACAGGCTATGCAGAACACTTCGCACTGATCAGTGATGGGGCCCGGGGAATCAGCTCACAAGGCAAAGAAAGGCCGTCCACTTTGCTCTAACTTCGTCTAACTTCTACCTCCGACCTCCTCTCCAGTCTTGTTTGCTTCCTGCCTCTTCAATGCCTGCTTCGAAGTCTAACCCTGGCCATCTGGGGCATTTCCAGGTTGGGTGGCGTCCAACAATTGATTCCCTCCGTGCTCCGTTGCTCTGTGACCACTTGCTCGTCCCTCGTCGTCGCGGCTGCGCTCCGTTGCTCCGTACTTTGTTGGCCACTAGAGTACTTGCGGTGTCATGCTCAAATGGGGGTGCATTCTCGAAGTTGGCATGTACATGATCTCCAGACTCTAAAGTCTAAAGTCTAGATGTATCGAGAAGTCTTCTTTGGTTATAGTGCTCATGGGAGACAACGGGGATTCTGTTTTGGAGGTCTAACCTTCTCTGGCTGGGTGGTCTCAGGGCATGACAGCCTTACTTGGTAACGACTTTCATGGCAGCGCCTATGCCCCCAGATGCTTACCTTCACGCACCCTGGATTCAAACATGTCTTAATACGGCACGCAAACAGGGTATTGCGCGCAGCAGGTACGGCAAGTACGACTTGACGGTGCAACGCCACATCCATCGATCCCACCATAACGGCGCAACGTCGCAACAGCACACAGCCGTCGTCGTGCCTGCGATGCAAAGGCTGCTATCCAAGCCCGTGCGAACTCTCTGACAATCGGGTCAATCCAACGAAAGATCCGGCCAAAGTCTTTTTTCTCGGCCTGCTATGTCCCGGATTGGAGACTACTGCAGAAAACGGTGGAGCAAGCAGGGAACAGCAAGGTGTGTACTTCATCTGCATGAATCGCAACCTGAGGCCGATTTGAAAGCTCAGAAATTCGTCTTCTCTTCGGGTAGAGCCTGTGCCGTGAGAGCATGGACTGCTCAAGGGGCCAGTCTCATGCGAGCTGAAACACCTTGTAGAAGCTTTGCGAAAACGTGGTCTGTCACAATGTGCAGCTGCTGGCTAGTTTACACTTTCTTTAATCTCTAGTCTTGCAAGCTTGCACAGCTGCTACTGGATCGAGTTGGCAGCCTGTGGGAATGGCCCACGGTTTGCAGGGACGCCAGGAACATCTCGAACACACCGACAACGCATGTCGGGTCCGGGCACGGAAGAAGCCGACGAAGGCCGAGGGCTTGAAGATTTGAAGTCATGGGATCGTCACATCGCCACCATATTCATCAAACGAAGTACGTTCCCAAAGAACTTGCCTGGAGGCTTCGCATGCGCAAATCAGGCCGTTCTTAATCAAACGATTCGTCAAGGCACTGAGGGCCCTGCTGCAAGTTGTGAGCTTGGGTCTCCAAGTTGGCTGGCGAGTTTGGCCACGACGTCTCTGGACGAAGGCTCCCAGGAAGACCTTGCAGAGCGAACTTCCACGCAGATGCGCGAGGCGCCCTCTTCCGCCCCAAAGATGCGAAGCCTCGGCCGTGGTCTAAATACTGTTAGTACATTGCTACGTTACTACGAGAATCTTGTACCCAAGCAAAACCCCACATCAACGAACAATCCCTGTATGCAAACGTGTCGATTACAAGCAGCCTCGCAGGCTCCAGGTCCAGGGATGTTTGCATCACTTCTGTCAAAGTTCGCTCCAAGCTTCCTCGCAGTGGGCGCGCAAGCTGCAGTGTTGCTCGTGTTGGGCCTTCTTGGACAGGGATTTTCTCTGGCAAGGGCGTGCAATCATGGAAGGGCGTGGAAGCTTCGGGCTTCGAAGGAAGCTTGGCCGCTGGAGCGTCTTTCGGTAGAAGCGCATCTGGCGCCTGGACCTGCGGCTGCACCTTGGGCAGCTTGGCAGCCAACTGGGCCAGTAGTTGCTTGGGCTTCTGTGAAGCCACGTTCAGGTCCACATCTCGCAGAGATGACTGGGTTGGAGGGCTGCCAACAAGCCACTGGATCACTCGGATCGATGAAACAGAACCACCTTTTGATCTGAATCGCTCAAAGAGCTGCAGAGCTAAATCGTCCACATCCTGCCGCGGAAAGGAGCCGTCAGCTCCAAGCAGCAAGGCTAAGCCCAAGTGGTCGATCGTGTCATCTGCCTTGGAATATCTCCAGACAAGCTCCTCCAGTTGATGTCGCGCCTGGCCTTGGCGCAATCGCGCCAAAACCTTTGTTTCCAGCTGCCGCAGCTGCGCCTGCCGCAGCTTCACATGCTCCGAACGGCGTCGGAAGAGGCGCGCAAACTTCTCCGCGGGAACTGCATCCAAGGGATCCGGACAGCCTATGGCCAGGAAGACGCCTTCTAGACGGCCCCAGCTCAAATCCAATCCACGGAACTTTAGAGTTCTGGCCACATCCTGTCTCTGCAGCCTCGCCGAGTTTCCAACTTCCAGGAAATCCAGTGCCACGGAACCTGCCTCATCCCCAATTTCTTCAATCATCTGGTCAAAGCTCTCCTGAACTGCAATGATACGTGCACGGAGCTGCTGGAGCTGCTCCAGAAACGTCGGGGTTTCCACCAGAGGAACACCGTTGCTCGGATCTGCTGTCTTCATGCTACACACAACTGCAGACACAACTGCAGATGCCTCGGCTGAGGTCAAGAGCGGCTGCAAGGTTCGAAGAGCCTCTGTGAGCTGTTTCGGTTTAGGCATTTCCTCCAGAGCAGTACCCTGAACACTGTTGCAGATGTCTTCCTCGCAGGACAGGAGTAGCAGGGCCGAGGTGATCTCCTGCGGATCAAGTGGGGTGTCTCGTGAATCTTGGAGGAATTGATCCTGGAGAGCCAGCAGTACTGGGGCCAGCCCAGCATGTGCGCAGACTTGAAGTTTGCCGATGACGACATCATTTATGACTGCGAAGACCTCCAGTTCGCCCTCAAAGATCTTTTTGTAACCCTGCAAGCTCATCATTTCCTGCACAGACTCCTTCTCAAAAGGCTCCAGCACCAGTTTTGCCAGACCACAGAGCTCTGCGCCGCTCCAGAGTTGTACGAATATGCAACCGGGTGTTGGGCCCTTGCAGTGAAATGTGTCCGTCTGAACTTGCCAAATGCTTGCTGCCGACACAGCCGCACCGCTAAAAGACAATGCCGGGGACGGCGACACATCGTAGTTGACTTTCATGCTGACTTCCTGCACTTACTCACGAATCACCAGAAACAAGCCAAACAGGGTGCCAGAGCGCCAAATTAGGGGTCATAGACTGCGAAACGCTCCTGAAACTGGCCCAGCTTCAGCACCGCCCGCAGGTCTGAGAGACTGCCCAGTTGACCCAGGGCGGTGAAGGAACCGACCCAAAGCCTGATATGGATGCCACCTCAGAAGCAAATGTCGTCATCTCAATTCTTAACAGGCCTGCTACCGAAAAGAAGCTCTTAGCCCCCCGGCTCTCATCTGGCGCAGGCCTGGTGACCTCACCTCGCCAACACATCGCACTGCTTGAACCCGCCTTGCCCATGTGGCATACCTCTTGACGCGGTGAGCTCCACCGACAGCTGCAGTCGCCCAATCGTCTCGCTGCCTGGAAGATTCACAAGCCTGCAGATTTACCACAGCGGCTTGCAGATTACCCTGGCACCTCTCTGACCGCCCATCGAACGGAGCTCTGCTTCGAATGGGCAGGCAACCCCTGGGTCCAGTAGAGCCTCAGCCATAAGGGCGCAGCACTTGCAGGCGCAGCTTTTTTCTAGGCTCAGGGCGGCAAACCACAGCAGCTCGGACTGCACAGGCGCGATTGCAAACAACCCTCCTTTTCTTTTTGGTTTGTTTTCATTTCGCCTGAGCCAGCTCTTGCAGCGGTTGGCCCTTTGCTGCTCTACCTGCACATGCTGCAGGAAGGGAGAATATAAGAGCAACGATCATTTGGCGCTGCCTTGCCCCTCCTTGGTTCGCCTGGCATCATTGCCCTTCCTTTCGGGTTTGCTCCCAAGTAAGCTCAGCTGCAACCTGATAGCGTTGCAGTGCCAGATGTGCTCGGACGTGCCCTGCTGCGCTCAGCTTCCTGCGGTAGACCAGCGAGCGCGCGCATCTCCGCGGACCTGCACGTCTTTTGCACCGAGCACGAACCAAAACTTGCTCTGGCAAGGCGGCCCCACTCGGCTTTGCGATGGTAGGACGTGTGCTGGATTGTCAGGAGCCGGCCACCTGAACCACTTTGGAGCACGCTTTAGAAATGTATCAAGTCTTCGAGGAGCAACCTGCCTTCTGGGCACGCAATGAAGATCTCCTCTTTCCCGCTGCCTTGACGTACCGCAGGACTTCTTGCGAGCTGAGAAATTGATAGGGCCCCGGCCCAGGTCCAACACGCAACGAAGCCACAGGGACTCCCCCCTGTCAATGCGTTGATACTAAACTATCTACATGTGCCCCACTCTGATGCTGCCACGTGCCTTAGCTTGCGTGCCCCAACAGCAGAAAGCTCCAGCGATTGCAGCTTCACACCTCTCAAGCAAGCGGAGGCCAAAGCACAACATGCAAGAATGCGCTTGGGAGGTCTTTGGGCAAGCTGAGCTTCGCGCAGATGCCATCGAAGTCTGCAGGGCAAGGTTTCTCCCAGTCAGTCTCTGATACCATCGCTAGACTCATAACATGCCTTGGAGCTGAGGCGCGAGAGGCACGCGGAGGTCGCGGGGTTCAGTCTTTGTCGAAGTCTCAGGCGCCTTGAACTGGAAGCACTCTCATGTCCAAACACAAGCAGCTCAAGCGCCTCTAGCACCTTCTCTTTTGGTTGCAGGTTTTCGCCAGAGTCTGCAACAGCCTTCTCAATACGCTTGCCTCGAGTACGCAGGACACCCTGTGCGCTTTATGATTTCTCATGAGCCTTCCACAGCGTCCCAAAAAACAATTTGAGCGCCCTGCCGGAGCACATGGGGTCCTCGGCCAGGATCAGCTCCAGCTCTGCCACGGCTCGTGTGGAGAGCCTGAATTGCAGGCGATTCTGATGTGCGGCAGAGACTTGCAGGCAAACCCATGAGGAGCTCAGACCGGAAGTTCACGAACTCTTTTTCTTCGTGTCAAGCTTCTGGCAGCAGCGGGACCATGGGGTGGTCCACCCGCGCTCCGGGGCCCAGTTCGCGGGCCCAGTCCTCGTAGGACACTGCATCCTCGCAGTCCCAAAGCTCGCCCTTACGAAGAAGCCGCGCGCCATCGGCTACAAAGCCTAACGTCCAGGCCAGGCGCAGAGGCCCAGCGCGAGGGACGCCAGTGCTGCTGTGCAGTGTCCACCCGTGGTGTACAGTGGCATCTCCGGGATGGATAACACCGGTGCCTCAAGACACCCGAACACACCTGGGTTCACTCGAATCGCCGCTGAGTGCCTGACGGTGAAGCTTGTATCGGCCACTCAAGTCTTCATCCATATCGCCATGGAAAGGGAGCGCAAAATCTCTGTGGCTTCCAATGGCATAAACCAATGACGAGCCCTTGGCGGAGATAGATGTCAAGGGCAGCCAAATGGTCAGGAAACCTCAATGCTCGCAGTCTGTCTTAGGATGACATCTGCTTGCTGTTCAGCTGGTGTCCTGTATGCTTGAGGCCAGGGACTATTCGTGTCGAACGGTGCCAGACCGAGGTCTGAATGCCAGTCAGTCGCCCCATCGCCTTAGGTGCTCGCAGTGGGGATACTCTTGGGAACTGTGCCCTTATGAGGACAACACATCTATCCAGACAAGGCACCGGGGCGCTTTTCAAAAAGCGAGTCCTGGTAGAGCCCTGGGTAGACGTGAAACATGTGAAAGTGCTGCGGGCGACCCCTTCTGTAATGACTTGAAGCCAGGCCACTCACCCGTGGAACGCCCAGCAGGCGCGAGGCCCAGAAGGCCAAGCGAGGAGAGGTTGCAACTTCCCGAAGCTTCTTGCTGCGTCGATGGAGGTTGAAGTACTGCAGGAAGCTGATCTGCCCACCTGATCCCCGTACGTTTCCATACATTCCCATCACATGCCAAAAGCAAGATGCCACCACCAAAGCTGGGTCACAAACGCTTTTCGAGGCCTCTCAGCTTAGCCCGACAAGCTGCCACATCAGAGCAAGCTCTGGCATCCTCTGCACCAAATTGAACCTCAGTCGACTCTCAGTTGACGCAGGCATCATCAGCTCAGCATTTCTCAGCCTCAGGTAAGTGGCCCTGATCTGATGCCGCAGCCCTTGGAGGACACACTCGTCCGAGCCTGGGTCTCAGGGTCTCAGATACTCAGCGTGAAAGACTGGTTAGAACTGCATCCAAAACCGGTTCTGCATCCGAGCCACTGCGCACTGCATACACTGTCTTTCTCACTGAGCTCACTTCCTCCTCTGCTTGCAAAAATAAGCATGACTACATGAAACCTCTGTTGCTTCCGAGCAACTGGTGATAGAATCTCTGGCATTCTGAGGAAACCCTTGCGCTCAAAGTCAAGCCTCATTTTCTAGCTCACCGCTTGAAAACGGTCGGTGGCTTGACTTATACGACTTCAGGCTTGGGCATGACTTCTGCAGAGCATTTTCTTCGATCCTGCAGGCGACAGAGTTGACAAGAATTGCAGAGATACTGTGGAGCTCCTCCTCCCTCACGCGCAGCTCGCATTGGCGTGTCTGGCGCACCGCGGCCGCAGTGCTCATTGCCTCTGCTGAAGCTGTTCCAGATGATCTGGGAACACTTGGCAAGAGTGTCAACAAAGGAAAGTAATGCGAACTAACGTTTTGCCAAGAATCTAATAAGCAGGTGCTGCACCAGGACTGCCTTCTAGATTCTGGACGAAGAGCAACCGTGTGCAAGTGGCTTCGAAACATGACGGGCTCATTCCCGCGCGCACTGCCTTCGACAGCTGACAGCTGGTACCATCAAGCCAAGCCAGATTGCTTGACTTTTGTGAGCAAAGCGTGCACCTACAACTGGCTTTTGCGCTCAAGCGTTCCGGTTGACGCCTCGCAGCACGTGGCTCAGAGGCATCAGCGCCCCGAATGACAGCGCCATGGCAGGTGAAACGGTCTGGGCCGTGAAGGCCACTGGAACAGTCCGCCTTGAACCTACCGGCTGCGGTCTGGCAACCTTCAGCGCATCAAAGGTTCTGGCATGATCGCTTGCCAGGTCCCAGGCTGAGACCGCAGGTCTGGGGGTGTCAATGCCCATTGTCTGCTCTCTGCTGCCTTGAGACTAGTAAAGCTCTTGGTGGCGCAGATCCTCAGCCAAGTCTAAGCTCTGCACAGGCAGCTGCGGCTGGGCCTCCACTTGGAACGACTCCACTGCTTCATGTTGTCAATCAACTGATCTCAAGTCCAACCCTTCCTGGAGCTGTTGGCACAGATGTTGAGCTCGTGCCAGCAGCTTTGCCTAAAGAATGAGCTTCCCTGCAAAGCACTTGCTGCAACCTCTGCAGCCAGTCAAGATTGAGGCTTGCGACTCGGTCTTCCGCCACCGGGTCCATCCCAAGGGCACATTGCGGTCACAAAGCATGCAAGTGAAGATTGCACAAATGCTGAAGTCATCCAGAGCAAGTAAAGCCCCACTGGACTTGTGCACTTGTGGATGTTCAAAGGTACTCAGTTGAAACTGCCTTGAACCACAATGAAAGAAACACGTCGTGCACGATGCTCAACACCATGTGAGCAGGAAAGAAACATGGCAACACATTTAGACATCGAGCATTGCTGCTGGGTTGTTTTCAAGCTGCAGCTGTCCTGGAGGCTCTTAGCTGGTGGGACCGGGCAACCTCCAAAGCCATGCTCTGCTTCCAAAGGCGCCTTCCACTCTATCCACTCTCATAAGAAAGGCCTCGAGAAACCAAAGAGGTTCTGCCAGCGAGTCACCTGAATCTGCAATCCGGGCTGTCTCACTCTTTGCGCACGGGACTCCTGGCCTGGGTTGTCCAGCGCACAAACACTTTCCGCATGAAGGTCGAGGATTCCCTCCTGACAGCGCGATTTGCCTCTATTATAGGCACGGTAAGTGAGTTTCTCAACCGAATACTCCTGCGGGTGGAACTCCACCGCACAGACCTAACATTGCATGGGGAAGGACATGGAAGCCAGCCACGAGTATACATCACACGCGCGCTTCCGGTCCAAAGCATCTCTTCCTATGTGCAGCACTGCATGCACTGCTATTCCACTTCGCAGCTCAGATCTTAATCTTGGCCAACACATGATGCAGAGCTAAGGCTACGGTTGCATTCACACCTGGCATATGGAGTCATCCACATGGAAGGCCTCAAAAACCGTTGCATGGCTCATGGCAGCCTGCTATGTTCGCTATCATTTTGAGACCTGTCTCCGTGTTTAATTCAATGAGTCCGGGCAGCAACAAAAGCCATTCCACATCGCGCAAAGCTTCCTTTAAACAACAACAGGGTTGCAGGCTTGAGCAACAGCGAGTCAATCGTCCTTATGGCCTAAGAAGCACTGTTAGGGGTCAGACACACGAGACATAGCGTCCAGCCTGCGGCCACAGAATCTGAGCTTGTGATCTGGCAGCTAGAAGCATAGAGCACTTTAAGTTGCTTGGAATGCAAGTGGTGCGGCCTGCAGCGCAGCACTGGCGTCAGGGCTTGATGCAATGAGCCCTCCCACGTCTAAACCTGATCTGAAAGGCTCTGCAGCTATGCACAGCTAACTTCAGCTAACTTCAGCTGACTTCACTTCAGCTGCCCACAAGCGCCGCGCTCATCACTGCCGACCCATCATCGAGATCGGCAACGTCATCGCCATCCCTGCCTGTGAGGTTCGTGCCCAGCATTCGCAAGATGAAATACAGGTTTCACTTCCTGCTCAACTGTGCGGGGTAAGGGCTGCACACAGGATGTATCCTTGCAGCCACACACGTTTCAGCCGCTGGTGCAACTTTGTGCACACGACATGACCTTGGCCCGTTTTTTTTAAGATTGCCTCTGACTCTAGCACCTGCACCAAAAAAAACTGAAACTCTGAGAGGCACGCCTTGACCGTCAACCGTCGTGCATTGCAGCCTGAGCTGCATTTGAAAATGCACGTTGCCCAGAGTCCCGATCTCCCATCCAGGCTTCTGGGCTCGGCCAGCAAGATCTTCATAGCCATGTCCAGGCTTCCACCCCATCCATCTCCCGTGTGCCTTTGGCAAACTTTGTGGCCCACAATTCCTGGTCGCCTGGACCTGCCTTTGCGCAACAGTCTGTGAAGCCATTGCGGCAGAAACAAGAAGCAGCACTCGCTCTCAGGAGCTTGCCAGGCTTCATGTAGCACAAGTCAAAGTCAAGTCTGCTTGCTTGCAGGGGCTGTGAACCCCGTTCTGAAACCTTGAGCCTTTCTGAGGGATTGCCAGCCTGGTATCATCAAGCGATTGCTGTTCACAACCAGCCAGCTGTAAATAGGCGTTGGAGTAATGCGTAGCTCAGGCTTTTGTCTAACCTCCTAGCAACTTCTCTTTGCTGAAGTTGTGAAACCATGGTGTGACGACATGAGTGACTCCTGTTGAAAACCAAGATAACGGTGTCATCTGGATGGCCCCGTTCCTGCGACCTGAGGGTGGCATGGCCAGGCGCAGGGGGCCAGGCGCAGGGGGCCAGGCGGTGCCTGAAAGTTGGCTCTGAGGCTGGCTCGATGCCTCGCTTCCTGGTCTGGACCTCCATGTACCGCCCGCGGTACTTTCGAGGATTCCACCTTGGCAAAGCAGTCAAGCTAGCAAGCTGATGCCTAGATGTCGGACTAAGCCCCCAACCACCGGTGTGCATCAATCCTGCGCTTGTCAAACAATTGCCAACGTCTGCCAGGGAAGCAGCAGAAGCCCATCCTGTAATTGAAGTCTCGCTTTGTAAGCCAAGGCTTTGTCCTGTGATGATCCTGCAGGCTCAGAACCAGGAAAGGAAACTGGAAAAGTTTGGCAAGAGACAACTCGTTCACCTGGCACAACACATGTCCTTTTTGCTCGAGTACAAATTCTTGAGCTGCTTCTGTATCTTCTGCCAATGTCGTGGTTTGTCAGCCCCGACGAAACCGCTTTTTCGCAACATCTCCTTAGCTCTGTATGTTTGTATGAAGCTTCAAAACTGGCAAATCTTTTTTGCGGCACAACTTGACCCTTTAAGCAACCTGCCTTCAGCTCTTGCGGCTCCAGTCCGAGTTCGGGTGGTCCGTCATCGACCACGACCTCGGCTTCCATGCATCCTGCCCTGCATGGCGGCTCCTGCTCTCACTACCTATGCCTTGCCTGCCTAGCTGCTATCTTCCCAGCCGTGTCTGTGTAGCCAAACTGAACCTGGGCAGAAAACAATATGACAATAGCTATCCACCTCCCGACCAGCACTTTGTGGCGCCGGCTGGACTTGATTTCGCATACCAGAAGCGAAACTTCTTGTACAGGAAGTATGAGCCTGGTCTTGCAGTCCACCTCTTATTACAACATTGACTCATAACGATGCCTGACTTGCAAATAGCAATGTTTTCAAGCCACCAAGGGATAACTTTGGTTATTTCAAATTTATTCATGCAAGCTGTCTTTTGATTTTATCCACGAGAGAGGGAGAGATCGACAGAAAGGAGAGAGAGAGAGAGAGAGAGAGACAGGGACAGGGAGGGGGAGAGACGGAGAGTCGGAGAGAGGGATAGGGACAGGGAGAGGGAAAGAGACAGAGAGAGAGAGAGAGAGAGACACACTGGGAGAGAGAGAGGGAGAGCCGGAGCTCCTCCACGGCCTACCCGTCATCGCCCCCCCTCTGCCACAGAATTCACGCACAGTTTCAGCACTGCACGAATCGGGGGCCAACGCACATCCAATGTGATTAATCCAGACGCCAACTGCAGGGGCAGCTACGCCCAAAACGCACGACCGACGCAACTTATCTACAGCCAAGTATAGAGCCAAGCAAAGCACCGCCGCTCGGGGTCCAGACCTCCCTCATAGGAAGCCCAGTCCCATCTAGAGTGCTACGCCCGGTGTTTGCATACCTGTGAGTCAAAAACAACGGAATTGGTTGAAGAACATAAAAATCCCAAAATACAGGGTTACCATGATACCCTATGTCCACCAAAAACGTTCTCCAACATCGACAACGCAAATTTCTCAAATCAGAATCTCCACGGTCTCCACGTGTTCGGAAGCTACATCATCACAAAATTAAAAAAAAAAAAAGAGCATTTGTTTTAGGGCGGCATGCCAACGTGGCTTAGCGGCTTAGAGCGCATTTTGTTATGGTGGGTGATCGCCTTTCAGCTCCACCCGTTAAGTGCCGGTGTCGGAGACGGCACTCCAGCACCTGCCAAACGACCTGACCTCTAGCACAAAAAAAGTTTGCTCAGAGAAGGGTGCCGGGCTCCCATGAAGACGCCGCCCCAGCAGCCCTAGGAGGCGATGAAACCGTTATCGCCCACAGCCGCCTTGGAGTCAGCCGTGCGCCCGTTGCCGAGGCCCGCCCCTCCGGGCGCTTAATTAGCTCGCCTCAGAGGGAAGGCAGGTGAAAGAAGCGGACAGCCGCTGAGAGTCCAGGTGGTTGAGCGTTTTCATCGAGAAGGGTCTGTCAGGCACAAACGCCGCTGAAGGAGAGCCAGTCACGGCCCAGATTCTCAGCTTGAAGAGGCCACGAATCACAGCACCGAGCGAACTGACAGCTGCCGCAAGTGCCATCCGTTACGCTCGATGTTACAAGACACGCACGTGCTTTATCAGACAAAGGCGGGGATCCACGATTTTTTAAGGAGCCCCCCTAGGTCCCTAGGTGTAAACCTCTGTAGTAGTAGAAAGGCATGAAAATTGTAGAGAACGCCTGCACAATCCATGATATGCCTTCTAGTGACGCACCTGTATGGCTGAACATTTTGAGCAACTTCTGCGCATGCAAGGCCCAAGCGCTTGATCAGAAACTTGTACTGACATTGGATGGCTTCTCGGAAGTCGCCCTCTTTGTGGACAACCTGACTGCGAGAGCCAGCAAGATGATCAGTGCTGCTTGCACGCTGGAAGTACTACAGATGCCCTGACGGTCTGATTACTACAGCTAGTTGAAGTCGGCTTCTGGGGTATATCTGCGCAAGGAGGGGCATGGAAAATGAAGGACCCCTGCCCCACCCATACCGGGGGGGGGGATCCGCAAGAGTAGGCATACAACACATTGAGTCCTGAAACATTGAACCCCCTGTGGCCATTTTCGACGTTAATAGGCGTAAGTCCCATCGCGAGATTCAAAAAAAGCCCGGAAGCCAAGCCCCAAACCTTAATCGCTATAACCCCTAGCCTGTATCCAAATTCCTCACGCAAAAAGATTTATCAAAGGGAATCAGGTAACCCTATGACCTGGAACTTCCATGGAACTGATTCGCCTCTCCAACTCGCTTCCAGGGTGTCTTGCCCTCGAAACGCACGAAGACCTCTGGAACATGTGCTGTCAGCGTGGTACAGCACACGCAGACACAACATGACGTGGAGGTGCGGCGAAAGTTCACAGCTCAGCTTTAACCAAACCCAGCCTCAGAGACGTTGTATCCAGCGCTTGACATAGCCTGAGCTGGGAGCCTTCTTATTTCTGTCGTGAAGAGAGATGCCCACGGAACCAAAGCCAAGGTGCCCAAAAATTCTTTTTCTGGTGAATCTTCGAGAGCTCAATCGGCTGTATCACCGACTCCTGTTGCAGTCCAGGGGCTGCTAATCAATAAGCCCAAGCAGGAGAGCTCGCCGCCTTCGGGATGTCAGCCATGGACTGGAAGCCTGTAGCCTGCAACCCCCGCCATCAATGTACTCTGCTGAAATTCCTGGTTTCAGAGCGATCACCTTGGGGAGCTTGATGATAAGCCTATTCCCGTTGTGCGATGTGGGAGCTGCCTGACCCCCACTCTTTGGCTTCTGCAGTCATCACTGCACGAAATGCACGCAGCTTGGGGCTCTACTCGCCGGGCGATAGCTGAAAGCTGTGCATGCCTGTCAGCCTGCCAACCCGCCAGGTTCTGAAGGTTTTGCACGGCTTTGTAGGCTTCTTATGTCTGCCTGGAATGGGCCGACAAAGCCCTCAAGACTCTGAAGCCATGCCATCGCCTGAGCTATCAAGATTTGGCCGGGCTGTGCAGGGAGATCTTGTGCTGAGTGTGGCGCGAGGACCAAGAAGCCCGCCAGCCATCGCCTTCAAAAGAGACCAACTGGCCAAAAGGAAAAGAAAAAAGCTGAATAAAAGAGATCCGGCAAAGGCTGCTGACCTCCCTGGGCTCGCTGCCGCAGGGGAATCTATCATCTCCGGAAATCAAGTGGCTTAATTTGCAACTCGAGTTGCTTGCAGCATTGCTTGCAGCATTGCTTGCAGCATCTTGGAACAGTACTTTAGGCTGGGCTCAGCCTCTTCTGCTGTCTACTCTGCACGTGCCGTAGCCTGGGGCCAACAAGGCCTAAGCACAGGCAAAGCCAGAGAGCCAATGAGGATGTGGGGCAGCCGTACCCAGTCCAAGAGGGTGTCTTTCTCAGGCACAATTTTTGGCACCTCAGCCGAATTCGACCACTGACGGTGTGAAAAGCACATTGCTCTGAAGCGAGTGTTTGTGCTGGACGAGTGAGACACGAATCATCTGGGTGAGAAAGACTTTCAAGTTGCGCAAGAACTGCAGCACCATAATGTGTCAAAAACATGGCCGGTTCCAAATCATGCTTCAGCATGCTTCAGCTCTTCTTGCGCGTCATGTGATCAAAGATGACGACCTGTCTGGCACGTTGCTCTTCTGTTGTTCGTGGTGCCGCCGGCCAACCAGGATCCCGGCTTGGATATACTCCGTAGTTGGCACCTGACAGGAGGAATTCCACTGCTCAGGTTTCGTGCTCGTCTTTCGGGGTGGAAGGGTACCTCCAGCCGCTTGGAGTTATCGCCTGGCTCAGACCTCGGATCGACGCTGAGCACCTGACACACAGCACAGCTGTCAGCTGACAAAGGCATTGGCCCCTTCATGCCATTGGCTTTGAGACGATCCAAGCCTTCCGGTCGCGCTTGTTCTTGAAGAGCAAGCCCTGCTCATGGTCTGGCAGGATCTGGAAGTTTGGGCTCTCGTTGGAGGTCGAGTGCTGCGTGTCCCAGTTGTAGAAGGACAGGTCCGAACTTAGCTGACTAAGCTGACTAAATGAAACCTTGACGTGCGCACCAGGCACATCAACTCTGAGCAGGAGGCGACTTGGGAAGAAGCCGCTTTTTGCGTTCGAAGTACCTGGACACATACAAAAACCAACATCACCAACATGTACAAGTGTGCAAAAAATGCCTAACAAGAGGCGAAGCACGGTTCGAAGTTCTCCGTTTTGAGACGGTGGCCGTAGTCAATGTATCCTGAGATCTCCTGACAGGGTCGTGACAGAAACATGACAGAAAAAGAGGAAGCTACTGTGGCCAGTCTACTCGCATTGCGGTCCTGCCCACGATGATTTTTATCGCGGATGAAGATAATGGTGCTGAGCTTACCGCTGCGCACCAGCTCCTGTCAAACAAAGAAGTTGATCCGGAACTCTGCTCGCTTGGCGAACCTCTCGGCAAGCAAGATGTCGAAGAACTGGGAAGTCCGTCAGCTTTTTCTGCGCACTTGCCAGAACCTGCTCCCGGCATGGTGCCCGTCCAAAACGCTTGGCAATTTCCCCGCCTTCGGCGCACTCTGTAAGCGCGCCTGTCGCAGCGGTACGAAAATCACGGTTTGCAACCTTGCAAATCTTGCAAGCATGAAGCTGGGTAGAGCACCTTCTTGGCGTTCTCCGCCGCTTCTCGCCGGGCGGCAAAGTCCTCCCTTGTCAACACCTTGACCAATAGCAGCTGAATCTGTCTTTTAATACTTGGTGGATTGTGTTGATTTCGGAATTTGCGGCGTGGCGTGCCTCTCCCTTCCTGCAACCGATCTCAACAAGCTGTCTGGCGAGCTCATCCTCCTCTAGGTAGAAGCGGTCCTGTGGTGCAGCAAGGGTAGCCCTTGCCCGATGGCCTGCGTGCCTCATCTGTCCTGAGGTGTGATCTGGCTGTCCAGGTAATCCTCGTAAGTCGTAAACTTTTCAATGGAGTCCTGCAAAATGGAAAGACCATCATTGGCTCAAAGCCAGCCCCAGTCACGAGCCTCGTAAGGATGCGCATAGTCGTCCTCCATTGCTCGGACTAAGTGGTTCTGAGCACTGGCAAACGCGCGCCGGGAATCACATGATAGCAACCCGAAACATTGCAGAGATCTACACGCCAAACATTGCCGCTGAAGCTGAAACAATCTCGCAGCTAAGGAGATAAGGATCTTACCAGCAAACAGCTCTGCCTAATGGCCAGACCTGCACAGCATTTTCTCTCAATCCCCAGGAGACGTGAGCAGCCCCTGCTCCAAGGAGGTAACTCTTTCACACGTGGTGCGCAGCAATCGTGAGTGCCTTCCCTCGTGGCATGTACTTAAAGCACATCAGAGTTGCTGCGCCTGGGTGCTACTTCTGCATTTCCTAGTCTGAAGCAGTTCTACTGCTTGAGCACTGCATCGTTAGCTGCTGTGATGGAGCTTCCGTGTGCTCGACGACGTCTGAGGAAATGTTGTAAGGTCAACAACACAAGGCATGTCGCACCATCACAAGCGGCTTCCCACCCCAACTCCCACAAATAGCACAAGGTGTGCTTGGCATTAGCAACAGACCTTCTAGGCTGCACGTCTCGGCAAACTTCACTTCTAGAACAAAAAAAAATTAACGAAAGCTGGCGCTGCCAGACAGCCTAGAAAAAAATTATGCAGTCACAGCCACGGAGCCCAGATAGCGGTGCCTCGCATCGGAGCGCTCGCGGTGTCACCCGCTTCATCACCCGCTCCAGATTCTTCTGAGGATGAGGCTCCAGTTGGCCGGCTAGGCGTAGCAAATCGTCGTGCGGCAGCCCCCGCAGCGTGCGACCTCCGTAAGACACCCGGAGATTTCCATTCTGCTCAAACAAGTGCACTCAGCCTGTGGAGTATGGCTCCCTTGTGTCCTCGCTCGCCTTGAAGAGGCACTGGTCAAGCCATGTCCAGCTAGGGAACACACTTACGAAATGCAAAAAAGGCCTCTCCGTTGTCAGCTCCCTCCTCGCTTCTGGCATCTCCTTGCTGAAGATTTGTCAGATCTAAAACGCGAGTCGCGCTCCTCAACCTCCGCATACGGCCTCGTCTGCGTCGCTTTAGCAGAGCGCTCGAAGGCGCATCATCGGCACCTGCCGCTGTCATCACGAAAGCAGCGCGCTTGAGGCTTAGCCAAGGCCTGATGGGTTGGAAGAAGTGGCAACGAGCTCACGTTTCACCGCTTTGGGAAGTGCTTCCTGGAAAAAAAGCAAGCTGCATCAGGTGGTTCCCCACAGTGCCACTAGCAGCTAACTAGCATGTCAAACCCACAGTTCTATGCAATTCCCATGCGCTAAGTCACCACTGCACACCAAAAGCCAGCCGGGAACCCAGATCTCACTACTAACGCACTAGACGGCAACATGTAGCTACGGCCTCTGACTTGATTGGAAGCTCACACTTGATGGGCTGAGACGCCTCAGCCTGCAAAGGCATTTTCATGTTCTCCCCTCATGGACGCACTGAGCATTTCGGAAAACACAGCTGAAACCTTGTCGGTCTCCAAGGCGCTGGGCCAAAAGTCATTCTTCCTTACAGAGGCTGTTGTTGACCAAACTTGCATCAAATCAGATCCTCGTGCATCTCGTGCCTCCGCCTGCGAGGCACTGCGAAGAGCTGCGCCTCCAGTCGTTTTCGGCGCCTTTGCACAGCCCACGCCATCTGGGCACAGCAGGGCACAGCGATAAGGCGATAAGAGCATCCAAGGTGAAGGCTTTGCCAGGTCAACCTTGATATCCAGCCCTGCCCCCTCTGCTTCCTCGGAGTCCTGCTTCTACAAGGGTTGGGGGGGGCTACCAAGCGACAACTCTCTGAAGAGCGCGCCTCCTCCTCCTCCAACTGCTGAGGATCTGCCAGCGCCGGGCCAAGCATCTCAACTTCATCGGAAGTGTCCTCGCCGGGAGTGTAAGGAAATCGTTCTTGGTGAGATCTGGCAACACAGGGATGTGCGAGCAGCTTTGAGCTGTCGCTACTAATTTTGCCTGCAGAGTGTGAGATTCATCTGATTCTGATAACCGCTATCGCTAGATACCTCAAGCAAGCAAAATCATATGCACAAAGGGTTGGCCTGCTGTAGAAACTCCGGGAGATCTCTGCCCGAAGCCGACGTGCTGGCCTGCCCCGAGTGTTGTTCTAACACACAAATTGCCAAGGGAGCGAAGCTCCTCCGCTGCAGGCAGCTTTGCTTCCGCTGATGGCGCCGCAGGTTCTGACGGACCAGATCTTTCCTGACACACAGCACAAACAACATCACACAACCTGCAGCGGCCTTTGAAAGCGGCCACTTGGCCACAACGAGCGTCAGTGCAGGCTTCCTCTGCTTGCAGCTGGGTGTTTGCCTTAGCTAAACCTCGACGAGCCTTCCCATTCTCCGACGTGGGCTGGTCCTCTGCTTCATCCTGAAGAGACGGGTCGCGCTCAGCACGCGTTTTTTCAAGATCTTTTTAGCTCCGCTCTGCCTCTGCCTCGTCTGCCTCTGCCAGCCCAGGGCCTGTCTCAAGCTGGTCCTGCCGTTGCTTGTGAGACGCAAAAAAACTTAAGCCCAAAAAACAACCACAGGCCTGGAGGGGCTCCAAGCTCTCGACTGGCATCTCCTGAGGCTCCTCACAGCATGGTCAGCAGCACAGCACAAGCCATATCTGGAGCTCTGGGCACCAGGCACAGAACTCCTCCGCTAGCACAACCTCTTCGTGCGCGAGCGAGCCCTGGACTAGTGAAAACTGAAGGCTGGCTCATGCTGGAAAATGCTAGAAAGCCAGCGAGCCCAAATCTTCCACAATGCTGAGCTCAGCGCTGACTGCAAAGGACGAGGAGAAGCCACCTGGCCAAGCTGGGTTCGACGGCTTCGGGCCCTTCCACTTGCTCAGTCCCCGCGACGCAGAGGTGCCTCCTCCGCCTCTTCCTCGCATTCCTCGCATTCCTCGCTCTCGTCGCTCGCTTCCTTCTGGAAGGACGTTTTGAGAGCCTCCTCCCGAAGAGCCTCGCATGGGACCGAACTGCATGCCGCCGAACTGCATGCCGAGCCGTGCATACCGTGCATCGCGAACAGGCTGCCTCCTCGTACTTTTGCCGGGAGCGATTCAAGAATGCCAGGAAGCCTTTGTGCAATTGGGATCAACAGAGCTTGGATAGCTTGCGTCCCTGTGCGCACTGCCTCCACGGCATACCGTCATGTCGTCCTCCGACCTGCAAACGGCACTGGTTCACCTCTTTAAGACCGTCCTCATGCAGTCCTCAACCCTCCCAGGTTGTTGCAACCAAGCTGCAGCAAAGAGGCCCGGAGCTGGTACGCAGGCAAATGTGTCCGACTCAATCAGTCACCAAAGGTGAGTTTGTTGAAGCTGCAAAATGTTTCTGACCTGAAATTCGAGAAGCCTCCCATATCTTTATCTGCCAAATCTAGTTTGTTCTTTGTCTCGACCTCTGCTGCATAAGCTGATAAGTGACGGCAGCAGGTTCATCTGTTCTATGATGAAAACATGAGCAACTTGCGGCACCAAGCAATGTATGACACACATCTTTTTGAAACTTTCGTCTTCCAATCCCTCTTCAGCAGCCCAAGTCCTTCAAGCCATGCACACATCGCATTAAATTGAACCGCGGAAAGAAAACTGTTGTGTCTGCCTGAACCAATGATGCACAGCCAGCGAGTGCGGTGTCCTGTGCGGGGTTCCCAAGACCGGTAGCATGGAAAGCATTTGGCCGCTTGTATCAAGTGACCTGCCTGTACTCTGCATCCGGCATTCCTCTCTCAGTGTTGGCCAAAGGATAGAAGACCTCAAGTCACAAAAAGGTCGGCTAGCAACTCTGGCTCTAGAACTCTGCTGCTGTGCCTCTGGTGGGCAAATCAGGATCGGGGCCAAGTCCTGCTTGCCTGCGCATCTGGGACCTACTGCCTCGGACCTGCAATTGACTGCAACGTTCGCCTTTCAGCAGACGGACGCCCTTCATAATACCGCGAGTGAAGAATCCAGGCCCTGTAGTGGCCAAAAAAGCAGCCTGCACCGCAGCGTAGATTCGAAGATGGCGAATGACACCGCGAGTCAGCCAACCTTGCCGCGTTGCTCACATGGCATCTCCAGCATTCCAGACCTGACAGGCTTTTGTTCATCATTTGCGATATACAACTGCACAACAAGTCTGGCATTGAAATGCAGCTGCTAGGAACGTAAGACTTTATTTTTCCAAGCTGTTGCATTGCGCATGGGGTTGGCCTCTGAATCTGGTAGGCAACAGCTTCTTGGGGATCTACGTCGCCCTGGCAGTTTCAACACCACAGAAAACACTTTCAAATGCTTTCTTTACCGTCCTGGCCCCATTCTGGCCATGGCTTTCCCAAGCGATCGCACAAGTAGGACACCAGCGGGTGCCTGCTAGTTCAAACAAGTGTGACGCAGTACGTCACGTGTTGGAGCATCTCTGGGCCATCTGCCCGGGCGTGGCAGCAAAGAGGCCATTGTTCACTTCAACAGCACCTACCTTACAACGACACTTGCAACGAAGTCAACCATAAGTTCGTCTCCAAGGTCATGGCATTTGAAAGCCCACAGTAGAACGAAGCCCTACTGTGCAGCGCACCGAGCGGCTGCAAGCACTCGAAATCCTTCAGGAAGTTGGCAGGCTCAGACGCCTCTGCATCGCTTCTTCCAGGATTGCACAAGTGTCTGTCCACATCAACGTAGAGACCACCGTGGCGAAGAATGATTGCCAAACCTCATTGCAGTTGGCTCGAACCATGTGGGCCGCTGAGGCTGTCGAAGCAGCCCTCCAAAAAGGAGAGGAGCAAAGGGATCTCATGAGTTGATTGGAGATTTCAGAAAGCATTTAATGTCATTTGCTACATAGGGATCACGCATAAACGTCTACACAAACAAAGAAAGCCTTCACGGTTGTCCCGGTTATGCCCGTGCTCCGGGCGTAAGATGTCACTCTTCTCTGCGGGGTTGCTAGCAGCCTCGTAGGCCTGACAGCTGAGGAATACCGTCTGCAATATTAATGTCAACAATAAAGCAACATAGAGGAGGAACACCCCAGCGGCTGCCTGTGCGAGGCCAGGGTGTGTCAGCTCTTCCGCAACATCTGCATCAGTCCAAAGCCGGTACTCCCAGCCAGGGTGGCCTTGCCGCTCCCAAGAGAAGGAAACAGAAAAAAGGGACGCCGGGCTCCACTTAGCTGCTACTTCTCCTTAATTGTGCTGATGTTGTCGTTATGACTGTTCCTCTTTCTTCTTTCTGACAACATGATGAACGACAAGTATGGTCCTGCTCTTAAGGCAAATAACATGAGGATTTGTTGCGCAGTCATGCAAAAATTCTCCAAGTGCCCTTCCCAACCCAGGCGCCCCGCGGCTTCGCCAGGAGGCCGTGAAGCCTTCGCAGGGCTCCGGTCTCGAGCGGCCACCCAGCCAAATCCTCAAAGAAGGGGATTCTTGGTTTGCCTTCAAAGCCGTTGAATGGATGTTAATATTGGAGCGTTTCTGAAATCAATACCAGCAGATATTTACAATTCCACTGGCCAACAGTTAATCAATGGGCTGTCCGTGTTGGCACTTTTGATACTGTACCAGGCTGTCATTCATCACATCTGTTCCGTTTGTGGTACTATTACCAGCTGCTATTAATGCTGTTTGCTTGAGTGATTCTTCTCGTTGCGGCTGAGGCGCTGATGAATGCACTGCGGAATTGCAGGGCGCGGATCAAGTCCGGGAGCGCTCCCGAGCTGGGCCACAGCATCCTGAAGCCAACTTGAGGGGCGAGCCGAGGCCAACGAAAGCTGGCCAGGCGCTATCTGGCACTGGAGTAGGGTAGAAGAGGAGGAGGGACAAGAAAGCACAAACCTCTGTAGGGGGCCTGGAAAACCATTCCCGGAACCTCGCCAACTCGACTCCAGTGTCCACTTCACTTTGCACTCCACTTTCCTTTCCAGTTTCTTTTCACACCCTTCTCCTTCCCCATTCGCCCAAGCTTTGCTCCATTTTTCACTCCATGTCCAGTCTAACACTCCACTTTGCAGGACCCCACCCACACTCCAGAAACCACTCCAGTTGCCACTCCACTCTTATTCACTCTCTGCACCACTCACCACTCCACTCTGCACTGCACTCTCCACTCCACTCCCCAGTCTACACTCCACCCTCCACTGCTTTTCCACNNCTCACTCTCCACCTCTTTCCACCGCGCTTTCCCCTCACACCTTTCCTTTCCACTCCATTCCATTCCGCAACGGCGCAAGTAGCGTAGTCATGCGTAGTCCCTGCATTCTCTGCCAACCTTCAAGAGCCAGGACAGGCACGAGGATGGGGAGTCTTACTGTCCCATCCCTACGACAGGGTCGTATGCGACGAAGACACGACCAGGTACGAGCATGGCAAACTGAGGGCGCCCTTGCCTGCATGTCTTACATGCGGTGAAGACACGAGGCTCCAAACGTGGCAACAATTACAAATGCAACCCCGAGAAATCTCATCCCTGTCACTTTAGACGCGCAACAAAGACGTGATTCTCCAAAAGCGGGTCAAATTACCAAAGGTGGCTTCCCCGAGGTGCAGCATCCCTGTGACTGTTGACACTCATGAACTTTACACATGCCACGAAGAAGCAACGCTTCCCCCCCCCCCTGCCCGGCCCCATGCCCCGTGACTGTTTGACACGCGATGCATCAACGACGGTCCGAAGACAGACAACACTTATACGACGATGGTGACCGCGCGAATTCTTGGAAACGCTTGCGAACACTTGTGGATGAAATGCGGACGCTTGCGGACACGTGCGCAACGAGTTTCGCCGGCCATGGAGTCCCAGATTGCAACACTGAAAACAGGACCCCTTCCGCGGACCACTCAGCAAAAGGAAGGCTGCATGAAACAACCAAGCAAGATGTTACTTGTAGCATGACGGAGAAGAGAAGTTTGATTCAACCATGAAGCGTCAATTTACCTGCGCTCTGGCCAAAAAAGGGGTACATGAAGAGCAACAAGATTGGATGCAAACACAAAACAAAATGGTACTCGTACACAGAGCACGCAAATTCACGAAACACCAAGAGGAGGAATGCGAGATGCAATGACCAGGCATGACGTGCTTGGTACCGTGAGTGTTCAAGGGCATGCACTATCAGAGACGGAGTAGGGAACTTCAATACAACCATCGAGCTTGATGTCATTCATACCATGCCCATGCAAGGGTAGGTTTAGCGAGCACTGCAGGAGTGGCGAGGTCTCAACGAAACAAGAAATTTGCTTGTTTCAAGACCAGGCAAAGGTATTGAACACAACAGAAGGAGGGAAAAGTGCATTGCAACAACCCGGCATGATGATGCTTGTCGGATAGTGATCGCGAACAATAAGGGGAGTAAAACCTTGAAAACCACCAGCATCATGTTATCCGTATTGTGACCTTGCTGGGGTATGGCAAACGATAGAACAAGTAGGAAGGTCGGACCCGACTACCACACCCGTACCATGACCATACAACCGTCGTCCAAAAACGCGACAGAGTACAGCCGCAAAGTTAGATTCGCTTAACAACACGAGGAGTTTATGGAAAGACGCATCAACAGGTGAAGTAAATGTAGGAAGGACAGCAGTGAAAAGAGTAGGAATAGGAGCAGACCCCAATGTGTCATAATTCTGAACAGCATGTACTGTAGGTGGGACAACGCAAGCACGCATATCTAGCGCAGGAACTCATTTTTGGACACCGACACGAGCATATTGTTCATATACGGATATGAAGAGTATCAGAGGGCATACGGCATACGCGCTAACAAATTATTAAACATCATTGCTTCTCATGAAATCAATTTCGACCTTCAATCCAATAAAGAAGCAGACCCTACAACAGCAACCATAGCAACACAAGCCAAACGAGCTAGACTAGATTTTAGTCTTGCTTTGGCAATGGTAGCCTTCAAGGTCTGGAAAACGACGTAACGCGTGATATAACTAGAAACTAATATTAGTGAGAGAACAACTATTAAGCACGAACGCAAAATTATACCAAAGAGCAGACACTGATAACAATTCAAATGCATTATCAACTGAGGAAATATACAGACGGATAGAACACCCAACCTCACAACAGGAACAATAGCATTACAACTTAACGACACTCTCAGAATTGCAAGTAATAGGGCAGTTCTAAGCAATCAAGCATTTAGTAGTATTGGTAATGTTGTTGGAGAAGCGGATGTCACTATAAAGAAGTGTTAGACACAGAGTACTAATTATCTAGCAGAAACAGCAATGCGTTAGTTGGGAGACATAAATATTACAATTGGATGAGAACCATCAACACCAGAGATTAAAGTAACAGACGGACAAGTTACTTTAGTAGACATTGCGCATTTGAAAATATCAGTAAGTCAAAAAGTCAAAATGGATAACCCAGATTTAGCAACGGACAAATATTTATGTCTGTTAATTAGTGGTGCTATCATGAGCCTGCCAGGGCAGTGAATACTGAGAAAAAAGAGTTGATGCAACAACCGGGCATGATGTTACGGTACAATTGCAAACCGCTTGCCCCCACCCCCATCCTGCAATATGTATTATATCGCACGTCAAGTCGTTTTCCACACCTTGAAGGCTACTACTACTGCTAAAGCAAGACTAAACTCAAGCCTAGGTCCGCTAGCTTTCGTGGATCTTTGTTGCATCTAGGTCTTTCTATGCATCTTGGAGGTGCCTACACAGGTACCCTCACGCCATTTTTGAATATTGCGCAGAAGGACCGTATCCGTCTAGTCATGCAAGAATGTCTCCATCACACTATCATGAAGCCCTGGCCTGCCAAAGTTCTTTCAACTCCTCGAGCCACTGACGATCATTTGGACTCCATAGGCCCCACCTGCCGTGATCAGCTTCAAGCGGTGATCAGGTAGCAGGTGGTATAATGCACTTTTGCGCCTGATTGTATCAATTTTTCGAGCTGGCAGCTGGAAATCGGTCTCGCAAACTGCTTGCAGGGTATCCTGCATGCAGCAAGGGCCAACGCTCCCTCGTATCTCGAAGCAACACTGGAGCCTCCAACATTGGAAGGCATGGGGTGAAGACGGCTTATCAAGGTCAGGCTTGTCGCTTATGTTTGCAGCTGCTCGAGCTGCTTGTCGGATGCACATGCTGTCTTCATGTGCTTGCGTGTTTAACCGCCTCATGGCGCACATCTGCTTACACTTGCCAATCGCGCTGCTAAACACGCAAAACGTGTTCTGAACTCTGCTCCACAAACGAATCCCCACATCCAACATCCTAGTCCCCAGCACTGTTTTGTCGCGTTGGCCCTCGCGTCGCCTCGCTCTGCATCACCTTCTTCGTCGGAATGCTTCCTGGAACAGTTTCACAACATGTGCGGGAAAAGTTCTGCGACATTCTCAGGTGTCCTCATCGTGCCCGGCCCCAGGGCAGATAAAACATCCCACCGCTCCCTCACCTTGGCTGAACCAATTGCTTTGCAGTCTGCTTCGCGACATGACGGGCTCTTTTGAGCTGAAACTCTATTTGCCTGTCATGTCACTGTCTCGGTGCGAACTGCCACAAGCTCGTCCTCATGCTGTCCACCAAGAAACTGCTAGACAAACGACGTTGCGCTGCAGCACAAGCACTGGGATGCTGACCTTCTCACGCAACCTTGCCTCAGACTGCAACTCTTAGTCTTGATTATCTCATCTCGGGCACTGATCCCAGAGGAAGATCTCGAAAATGAGTCCCGAAGCCGCAAGACCACGCGGTATGGCAGGTAGTCCGTAGTCCTCACGGCTCCACGCACAAAGCTGAGGACAGAGTCGATAATGCCACCGCACCAATGTGAAACAAGTGCCTGAGGCAACCCGGTGGACTGGAGCAACGCTGCCACAGTCTGCACCTGTCGTTCAGCAAGTTGCGCAGAGCCAAGGCCCCAAACGGAAGCAAGCTCGCACGGACACACCACGTCAACTGCTCTTGCCTCAGTATCTCGAAGTTTGGAGCACAGGGGCAGTGGATTCAAGCATATTCAAGCAAAGCAAACGGTGCTTCCTGCACCCTACTGTCTACCAAACCCCGCGGACTCCTTCGGAGTGGTCAAGAACCTACGCTCAATCTGGAATATGTTTTTTTAAGCGACGCTATGGTCTGTGTTTCTGGTGCATACTATACCTACCCGTGCCCATACCAAAGGCAGACTGAGGCGACAGGCCCGCAAGCGCTGACTTTCGTTCAGGTAGAAGGCAATGGCGCTGGCGAAGAAGAGATGACCCGACGCTGACAAGCTTGCATCCTGTCGGCTCATGGCAATGCATCCACTTTTCATGCCTGAAACTTTTCGACTGTGCCGTCCTGCCACCAACCATGAATTTCGCTCAACGCTCTTTGAAATGAAGGAGCTGCCTGATCAGAAGCTGTCACCGTAAAAATGATCGAGGAATGACTACTGCGGTTATGAAATGCGACCATGCTAGGCCTAGCTGCCAAATTATCATTAAAATCAACAACAACGCAATCTTCTGATATATTACTTTGCGGTGCTGATACTTGACTACGGCTAAGCATTACCAATTACCAATAGAAGTGCTGATGAACAGTGTAACATGGCAGTCGCAGGTTTGAGAGTCGGAGAAGTTCTGAGACAAGGAGCAAGAGCAATAATCAGATTTTGGAGCCGGAGGGATTCACTAGTCTTTATTTAATTTGAAGACATAACAAGCTCAAGGTCTCCCAGATTGAAAACCCTGCATGAACAAGAGCCCCGGATTTTCGACGTAGAGTACAACAAGAATTGCAGTCATGACTTCACTTGTTCAGGTCACGCAGGCATTGCTTTGAAATCATGTTGCAAATCTCGCTTGAACGCTTCGTACTCAAACGAAGGAAAGGATTTCCGTACCGGCTTAGAGCTATGATCCTTTCAACGCTTCTCCGCCCAAGATCCCCCGACCTGCAACTGCTCTTCTTGAAGCTGCAGCCCAGTGAGTTCCTCCAAAGAAAACGAAAAAGTTCAGCTGCTTTGGAGTAGACGGGCACGTAAAACGGGCCTGCAAGGAAGTCTCTTCCATGGAGTTCAGCAACAGAAGGGACCTCCCCTGAGAAGAGAGTCGTCCTCCCATTGAAATCGAGGCATCCAATGTCCAAAGGGAGTGCAACTGATGCGTCCTGTTCGGCCAGCTCGGTGGACGTACTGCTCCCGGTCGGTCGGAGGCCCAACCTGCAGGGATTCCCTGACAAGCAAACCAAATCAAACCAACTACAGGTTGATGGCCCAAAGCATGCTGGTCAGTACATGCCCTGACTTTGCCAGCCTGGATGACCGCATGAACGTCCTGGGAAAAGCCGTTCAGCATCACTGCATGAGAGTCCAAAAATCAAACAGGTCAGGGCACGAAGTCCATACCCCGTGCTGCCAAGTCGGTTGCAAACAATGCACCACGGATGGGAGGAGCCTGCAACAACTTCCTTACAAACTTGCTCCCTTTGAAGACGTTTGACTTGAGGTCCCGACACCTTTGGAGAATCGAAGTGAACGAGTGCGGCGGCGATCATCTGAGAGACTTCGGTGCAGGGCAAACAGCCCCGGCCTGAATCCGCCAGTTGAACTACAGAAATGGAGAATTGGTACCGAATCCCATCAAGGTTGCGACATTTGGGCTCGATGTTTCAGCAGGACATAGAAAAACCTGGGCAACGAAGTTGCTGCCTCGCAGCAACATGCCCAATGTAGGCTCCGGGCTGCAGCCAACGCACGGTAGGAAACACCACTAAAACCCGACGGAGCTGCCCTGTAGCTTTGTCATCAAGTGAGAGGGACTTGCGATTAAAATAAGCAGGCCTTCCTTGCCCATCTCCTGCTCCAATGCTGCATGGAGAGTAGCAAGGAACTCGCTGCTCTGGTACCGGACCAGGACCTGCCGAAAAGTTATGAGGACAGCATGCATGTACTTGAACGGCACCGTTCTTTCGCATTGCAGGGCGGCTGTGGAAATGCGAATGGACACCATCATTTTGTTACAACAGTCCGAGGCATCCTCTGGAAGGACATGATTCCGAAGATGCTGCGTGCTGGCTCGGTGTCCATCAGCCTGTTTACTTCCATGCAGCATCATCGTCCTCGTGCACTTTGTTTTATTCTTTCGGAGCATTTCCATCCTACGCATCCTTACTTGGATTGGCCTTGACAACAGTCAAATGAGCGAATCAAGCATAGAGTCGACCAGAATCTTATGAATTCTAACTTCTATCACAATTCCAGCACCATTCAACGGCAAACAGGGGAGAAACTATTCAACCATCTTCCTTTTGTGTCTGCCCAGTTCCTCAATCCTCTTGCGCAAGGCTGGCTTCTGCTTGAGCTCCATATTTAAGGGCAGCTACTTTGCCCTGTCTTGGTTACCTTCGACATCCTTCCGTGACTGCGCCGCATGTTGTCGGGCGTGGCTGATGCATCTACACGCGAGATTCATATGAGAAGTTGAAATCAACATGAAGAATGTCCACGCATCTAGCTGGCCCTGGTTTTCGAGGAGCAAAATGGAGAGCATACCTGGTTGCGGTTCTTTCGTCCAGTTGTCCCAATTTTTTTGCCTCTCCCCAAAGCCTGCATCCTCCAGTGGATTTCTGCACGGGTAAGCCAACTAGCCAGGGCCACAACCCCGGCAGATCAAGTACTGCTTAAGGGGGCTGCTTCTGCTGATCTTTAAGATTACAGAGGTACTTTGTAGCTGCTGTTGACAAACTATTCGACCTCCGGCCCGCTGCATGAAGGGCCTACTGATTCTTGATGCATGGGGCAAAAATTGAGCAGCAAAGAGAAGCAACCCGTCAAGTGAGACTTTGACAAGGCAAATCTGCAGTTCCAAGGCACCTGGTGCACGGGCTCTGCCACATCTGCCTGCACCAACTGCTATGAGGTGGTAAAGCAGATCTGAAGGAAAGCTGTTGGCTGTTGACTGTGAAGTAAACTTCGCCTGGTAAGGAGAAGCAGACGAAATGGGCTCCTGCGCAAGGGTGCTTGGTTTCGACCATCTCTGCAAGCTGCAAAGCGCACTCCTTCGTGCCAAGATTGATCCTCAGGCAAATACACAAGTAGTGCTTCCACTCAAGGGTACTGCTTTTAGCAGGGAGCTTAGTGCTACTATGTGCTACTACTTGCCACCACGAAGCATTTGCAGGTTTGCACGGAGCGAGCGAACAGCGAACTTTCGTATCGGCTCACTGAACCTGCAGTGCGCCCCGAGCTGCAAGAACTGCTGTAGACCCGAGAATGCGCCTGAGGGAGTCATGCACTGAGTTTCACGGAGTTCCTGGGCTCAAGGCGTCGCAGAGCAAAGAACCATTCGAGGCCTGCAACAATAGTTTCTCATGCTTTCGAGAGAATCCGAGGGTTCTGTCCTGAACACGCCACCCTCCACGTGCATGATGTTCTGGAGTAAGTGGAAACTAAAGCTTTGCTATCCATTACTCCGGTCTGGCTTGGCGATTGATAGAAGTTGATTTTGTTGGGCTTAGGTTTTGTCGTCTGTGACTCCGCGTTGGGGTTTGAGCCTGTTCCAGGCTTAGAGGCCAAACCACCACTCCATCTCTGGCTTAGTACGAGCAACAACCCTCACTAAGGTGCACAAGTCAACTCAGAACATTAGCAATGACCATGATGCGTTGCGAAGATGATGGTCGAAGCAGAAATGTGAAAAGCGTTTGAGCAAACATGCTAGCCCCAATGGCTGCTGCCATGACGACAACTGTCAAACAAATTGTGATGGAAACACAGAGCAAAAACCGTCCAACCTTGGAGTTGGAAGGCAGCGCATAAGGTAGTCCACCTGATAGCAGTCAACAGTCAGTCAGCACTTGCCATGGAGCCACTGATCAAATTGAAGGGCAGTCCTTTAAGGGCTCTCTTAATCAGGAGCTTGAAGCCGCCTTGTAGACGAACGATGGATCGAGCAAGCGGTCTGCTTCATCCAGCACTAGCAGCTCCACAGACTGCAATGCACTTACCTGAGAAATGCGAAACGATCGCAAGCCACACACCGTCTGTATTGAAGAGGCTCCAGGCGAAGTGCGGTGTGGTCTCTAGATGGCGGGCCTGGCAGGCGTTGCTTTCTTCCAAGACTTGTCTTCTGCAAACCACATTAAGCAAGAATAAAACAAGAGAAATGGAAGCTGCGGACGGAATGTCAGCAAGTGTTGCCAGCGCTTGCAGCGTCTCCCGACTGAAACAGCGCTGCCCAGCTTCAGACAGCCGCGTGTTCAAAGTAGGCAAGGACTTCTGCAGCTGCTCAACAGATTCCACACCCACTTGATGAAGCTTCCGCAAAGCAGAGCCGAGCTCGTTTCCAGTCCACTTCGGTCTGACCTCGCAGAGAAAATCTCGCAGATTTTGGTGCGGTTTAACCAGCCCAGACACAAAGGAATCAATGTCAATGTCGTCGCTGCAAAGGCGCAACTTCTGTCGCAGCGTCCAAGCCGTACTTCTCACGGCCGCATCAGAATCTGCAAGAGCTTCTTGCATGATTTTGGAAGATACTTCACCTTTCTCATCCAGCTTGGAGATGGCCCCCAATGCAGCAATGCGGACATCTCTAGCGGCATCTCCAAAGAAGGACACAGCAAGTTCCAGCACGGCTGGATTGTTGGTTGACATGCACCCGAGCACGGATGCCGCCCCAATCTTGCATTCCATGTCAGACCCGCGCAGACACAGCTTTAAGTGGTCCAATATGCCGCTGGTATGCAGGTCCATTGCAGCCAGCCTCCTTGCAGCGACCTCACGCACTTCAGATGAAGAGTCCCTCAGGCTTTCGGTCAGCAGCTTGGCAAAGCTATGCGGCAAAGCTTCCGCCGCTGCAATCCGTACATCAGAAGAGGGGTCGTGTAGGCAAGCAGCGATCCACTTGAGACCCTGTTCTGCGAACACCTCAGTCTGCCAAAGAAGATCTTTAAATTGCACAAGTATTTTCGTACAGACCAGGGTATACTGAAGCTGAAATGCTCGTGGTTCATGCCTTCTGAAATCTCAAACACTTAGGCCTGCGCCTGGTCATCCTGGCACGGGGCATGACGAAGAAGAGTCAAAACTCTGCATTTCCCGTCTGGGGACATGCCTTGCAAGACTTCCTCGACATCACAGCCGTCCGCGAGGCGATCTAGAACCTGTGCTGCTTGCTCTCGCGGTGGAAACTTGCTGGCTCCAAGCGCCCACAACCAGGTGCTCCAGTCTCTTGAAGCAGGGCCTTTCAAAAGCTTCTCCACTGCTTCAGCGGCACTGCCTTGGGTTATTCTTGCAGCCTCAAACTGGCACAGCAGGCCGAAGGCTGCTTCTCGAACACCAGCATCGGCATCACCCACTAGGGCTTGCAGCTGCGCGATGCACGGACCCATGTCAGCCACTTCCACACCACAGCCAGGTCCCACCAGGGCCTCCATCGTCTGGATGGCAGAAAGGCGAACAGCAGCATGAGCGTCCGTACTTCCAGCCACAGCAGCCTGGAGTGCACGCACGTCTTTCCAAGGGATTGTACGTAGAGCCTCCATGGCATCCTGTCTTACCTCACAGCTCCTGTCCTTTGCACACTCCCTGATAATCAGCACTGACTCTTCAGGGGAGGTGCGCAGCAGGGCTCGCAACGCAGCTCTGCGAACATCCTCATGAGAATGTTGAAGACATCTTCGACAAACTTCATGCAAGCGGTCATCTGTTTGGACAAATTGAGTCAACAGATCCAGGCTCCGAATAGTAGCCACAATGCTGCCAGTCTCCAGCGCTTGCAATACACCCTCCAGAGAAACAACCAAGCTCATTGGCTCCGAGTCTTCCTTATAAACCCCTTTTACAGCACATAAATCGCTTAGAGGCGCGGCCCCTTGTAGAATCTGCTGGCAATCAGGGGGTATCCCTCGCAGGTGGAACACCTTGGATTTCAGGTCCTGCACACATGCCGCATCATCGATCTCTACGCAGAAGGAGTCTCCACTCATCATCTTCAGCTCTACCAGCAAAATGCTGGAAATACCCTCGCATTCACATTCAGTAGACATTTGGGGACAGGCCAGTGAGACCTTCGAGGTTTAGACGGCTGCGCCGAAGAAGCATGCCATGTTGTCGCGTTGTTGTGCCCTGAGTTCCGGACCAACCGCCAAGGAGTGGCGAAGAGAAGCTGAGGCGCATCCTCCCTGAGTCGACTCACATCATCCTGGCACTATACACATGTAATTTCTGACGAACTGCATCCGTTGCCAGCGCAAGTCTCCTCCAGAGAGAAGCTGCCCGCAACAAAGGAGCTGCGCACAATGCCCCCAGTGTACTGCAGCAGTCGACTCGCCACTTTCGCCTCAGCTTTTGTTTCACATTTTTCGTCTCTGCTCGATGGCTGCCAGGGCAACCGCCGACTGCAGAACCAGCTCTCGTGTGGGTGCCAGCACCAATGCGCGCACCCCCTTCCGTGACAGCAAAAACAACGAGAGAAAGTCCATGCAGCTCCACAAGGAAGGAAGCAGCGCACCGTGCAGCACACCTCAGGTACGGTGTTTCCTTTCGAGTGCCGGGCATCCTCGGAACGGAGCTGGAAGAAACATGCTTCAAAAGCCCCATCGGTTTGGCTCCTGCCTCTAAGAGCAGGAGCCTTTGCAGCGCGGGTACCAGAAAGGCAATGGTTTTGCCGGTGCCTGTCGGAGCCTTTCCAAAATTGTCCAAAACTACTTTCCCAAACACAGGCACTCAAGAGCCCTCACGTGCCTGCAGCAATAGGTCCGGTGCTTGTCTCGCATTCAATTCCTTCAAACAACTAATTCCAAACCCTACTTCCGAGACACACAAGCGTTTCCTGTCGCGTAAGCTCGCGAGACAGAACTTCGTGCTGGACGGAAGTGAGGCGTAACTCTCCGAGGGCAGCCTTGCAAAACATCGTGCATCTATGCTCCCTCTTAATTGCAGTAGCTCAACTGCCTCCAAACCTCTCAGAAGTCGCCCATCTAGGCCGAAGTCGGCGAAGGTTGATTCAGCAAAAACATTCGGGGAGTTGCAGCTCGAAAGCTTGGCAACGGCGTTGGAGGCTCCAACGTTGCCCTGACAACTTGCCAATCGCGTCCGCCATTACTGATGGCGAGAGATTGCCTTGTGGAGATTGTGTCGGCAAGCATGCAGAGAACTTGACAGCCGCCTGAGTTCTTTCTTTGCTTTAAACATGCAACCTCCAATCATACGTTGAGTTGCCCACCTCAGCATGGGCTGCAGGCAGTTCAAGGTAGCTTGTGGAAGCTAAGCGGTCGCTACCCCCGAGAGCTGAATGTTTGTATTCGAATGGCCGAAATCTTCTCCAAGATGCAAGTTGGTCTCTGGTTGAAGTCTGCGGCAAGGTGAGCCCATTATCAAAAATGAGCAAACATATGGGCAAACAACAAGCGCAACTCTGCCAATGGAGTACATTATGCCTGGCAGCATGCCCATCGTGCACCTTGAATGGATCAATGGCAATTGGTTACGCCAATTAGAAACACTTCAAACAATTGCAATTCTTCTTGCACATCCCAATTTCATAACAACTCCTAGAAGTTTGCTACAATTTTCAGTCTTCCACCATCAGCCCCTTGGACATTTTGTCTCAATGCCAATCTCTCCTCATTGACAAATCATGCTTAAGTCCTCACATAGAACAGATGTAATCTTGCAGCACTCGAAATCATCAAGGGGACAAAATTATTTCTATGCAACGCCCGTTGATAGTTGATGGCATGCGATGTAGCATGAACGTGGCCTGGGTACACAGTACCAGAACGAAAGCTACACAGCAGCACTCTACAACAAACGAAGGGTATCAAGTGATGAATGTGGCTTGCGTGCATTCGCAGGTGAAACATAATATGGTGCCAGACCATAGACCGGGCAGGAAAATGACTGCCGCACGGAGAATACTGCGAATGCTCTGGATAGTGCGAAACCACACCTTGCCTCCATATACCTATATACCTATATACATATATACATATATACATGTATACATATACACATAAATTAAAGGACCGGAGAACCCCACATGTGTAGTCTAACCCAAGCTTAAGTGTTACACTAGTCAGATAAATTCCGCCCGGCGATGTAAGAAGACATGTATAAAAGAAGGCAAACTCTTAAGATCGCATTCCGCGGTGAGACGACGAGCACATTACGCGAGAGCGAAGTCGGTATCAGCTGCATCTGGTGTGATGTATATGTATATGATCACGTGTGCATTTTACATATGGTAGCTTGCCATACTGAGCATGTGATGGTACAAACGTAGATATGAACACCTATTATATGTGTGTGCATATATATATGTATACAAAATATGTGTATATACTTGGTATATATACGTGTGTTTATACCCGTGTGCAGGTGTGTGTGTGTGTGTGTGTATGCTTGTGTGTGTGTGCGCGCGTGGATGTGTGTGTGTGTGTGAACCGTTCTGGATCATGAGCGACAGGGGTCACGCCCAGCTTCCAGTTGATTGGAATTTTCATGAGCATGGATTTTGTCATGTGCAGGGGCATTGGGCACTCCTTGGCAAACCCAATGCAACGAAGCTATGCCTTGGAGTGGGAAGCAGTTCGGGACGCCTAACTTTATTGCAATCAGTGATCAAAGCTTTGTCAAGGTTATTCGATAAAGATCCGCGATCCCACGGAAGTTGAACTTCATAATTTCAAAATGAATATCTCGATTGGTAATATCAAATATTCAAACATGAATGTACTCAACTCAGTGCAGATGGCTCACACTCTTTTTCATTCGTGGGGCAAACGACAATCTGGCAGAGTCAGGCAAAGCACAGGTGATTAACACCAAGTAGAAGAGATGTAAACACGCCCAGCGTGCATTGGTATGCCCAGCATACACGTATGGCCCCAAGCCATTTCGAGCAAGTTCGAAACAGTCATCACAAGGCGTGATAACTTTTCTCCCCCCTACAGCCCGCCTTGTTCGTTCTCCGCACTTGTCGTTTGCATATCACGCGGTGCAAGCATTCATGAGATTAACCATTTCGTCACACGACCAATCAATCTCAACTCGTGTGCGTCTGCTGTCGTAATAGTCGAAATCAAGTCTGGAAGCTGGGTCGCTCACGTTTGCGCATGAGGGAACGCGCGTGTACCAGTGGTATGCGCATAGCATATTCTCAACCCTGGCTGACACACACGGCATGTTGAAAGAATCCTGCACACGGGACGAGCAAGATCCGTACGCTGCTCTAGCAGAATCATTATCCATAAACCACAAGACACGCCTCTTGAAGAGGATTTTTTTCCAGCAGATTTTGCTTACTAAGACTGGCAACATTTCTGCCTGCCCAACAAGCTGTTTCTTCCCGCTCTTGCGCCAGGCTTCGACGATCTTGTTCGGTATCATTTCGCCAAAGTATTGGCGGACGCCGTGCGAAACATCATACAAGACAGCGCCATGGGAAACTGATTCCCTTCATCCTCACAAGCTCCATCAGTAAAGATTATCACGGGCCTAGGATCGATGAAGGCTTCAACCGACCTAGGGGGTGATTCTTTGATGGTCTCAAGGGTGTCACGGACTAGCAGCAACTCGGGTTCACACAAATTTGAGTTTTGATTTTGTGTCAAGTGCTTTGACAGGATTTTCACAGCGCACATTGCCACTCGGCCAACAGTACGAGAAGAGGCATAGGACAACTTGCCACGCAGGGCAGCAAGCTCTGTCTGGTGTAGCTGCTTCCGGTCACAAATGGCCTCGACAAGATCTTGGAGCGCTTCTATGCGTCCTTCCTGGTTGCCGATTTCAACAATGCCCTCTACGGTGCGATGCATGTTGAAGCTGGCATCAAGGACCAAGAAGAGTGAACACTTTCGCAACTGGCAATGCTTTGCGCGGATCCTCTGCCACTCTCCAACCGAGCATGCGGAAAACCAAGTTGGCAGTCTCCGTTGCCGATGTTGTCAAGGAGTCTTTCTCAATCTGGCAAAAGTCGTCATAAAAGTTTGTCACTATTAATCTGACTAACCTGATCAAGATTTTTCTGAGGGCAGAAGCCACCCTGTGAAAAGCGGTTACCGAACGCGACGAACCGAAAGGCAACGTTGCGAACCTATAATAGACCACATCGTGTGCGTCTGGGTCCCATACCCCGAGGACTGATGCCCATGAGTCTTGCGGGCTGCTGGCAAGTTGCTTATACGCTGATTTTAGATCGATCGCGCGACCACTCAGTCCTTGCGCGAGGCTTGGATGTTTTTCGCCCAGATTCTTCATAAAGGTTCGAATAGTCTCTGCCACCATGTCAAGGTCTTGCATGACGAGGTGATCTTCATGTCCACACGATGCATTGATGAATGAGGCTTTGAGGTCATCTATTGCCCTCGTTTTGGCACTTTGGGCAACGCCAAACCTACGTGAGGCGACCCAACCTTCTGGAAACTGTTGATCCAATTGCTCTTTAGTGTAGGGTCCTAGGAGCCAACCTGACCCATCCTCAGCCTGCAGCTTGGCTTCGTCACGGATGAGTCTAGCGGCTTCTGGTTCACTCCTGCTCGCAACGGATTTAATTTTGCATTGATCCAAGGCGCCATTCTTCGCAGTTCTTCCACAGTGCATGCAGCCGGAACATATTTTGTCGGGAATTGACCCGATGCCTGTTGGTGCCCTAAGATTCTGAAACCTTCCTGAAGTTGATCGCACAGGTCATGGTCTTCAACTTTGGCAATCTTGATCAGTGCACGGAACAACCCCAGCTTCTTTCCTTTTAAAACTGCTCGGACTTCGGGGCGCAAATTGGCATGCAGTTGCTTTTCGCGAAGGCTACACTCACCGGCAAGCTGGATCATGTTTTTCAAGGCATTTGCTCTGAAGGCACAGACTTCAGCATCGGAGGTTTTACAGCCCCACTTTATGTTATCAACGGTTTCTTGTTCGCAGCCAATCGCTGATTCACACGGGCGCTGGCATTCTAATGCTTTTTCAAGAAACTCTTCAGGGCTCCACTTAACAGTATAGAAACACGTTGTGGTTGTTCCATTGATGCTCTCGGGTACATGTGGCCGTTCTGCGACACATACCCCCTCACAATTCAGAGCGGCCTGGCAGGCAGCATTGCGATTGAGCAGTATAGCACCAGGAGGTGCATTAGGACGCGCACGCCACATTTCAGGCGGGATCACAGGCGGGGGGCGTTCAGAAGGCAGAAGTTGCACGGGAACAATGGCCGCATACTCAGGCACCAAGGCAGGAAATTTGTGTTGGCGAACGAAGCCGCTGGAAGCAGCAGTGGTTTCACGTAGGGGCAGACGGAGTTTAGCCTCAACACGCTGGGCTAGTGCCTGACAGAAACTGCGGGGCACCCATTGATTGTGCGCACAAGCAGGGGTGCGAATCTGCCACCCAAGATGTGTATGCTTGCCAGGGCAAAGCATCCGAAAATCAGATAGCAAAGTGAGGTTACGCAACAAGGTGCACGGCCGTTGCCGTTCAGCGCCCCAGGCACATAGATCAAGGTCAGTGATCACAAGCTGTGGTAAGTGGTTGCACAGCCTCTCTACAAGGGGAGATGTTCGAGGCAGTAGCAAACACACGGGCGTGCGGGAGCGCAAGCAATGCTGCAGGCAGTTGACAAGAAAGTCGCGCAGAGCATTCACGTCAGGCGTGGCAGGCGGGGCCAGGAACATGAAGGCCACGTGACGGCAATCAATTTTGTCCCAGGGAATCTGTGCTTGTTCAGGGTCCATCAAGTTCCAGCGGCTCTGCAATTCATCAGGGTTTGCGGCATGGTCTTGCAGCGCAAAACAGCAGACATCCATGCTACGAAGAACCTGAGTTAAATGGGGTGGGTCTGCAAAAACTTCAATGCACACGGCAGGCTGCGAAGAAGTTGTCTCTAAGCAGGCACGAACATGCTGCACTATAGCGTCACAGAGACCTTCGGGGTATTCAGCCTCCAGAGCTGTGTTGAAGCTGCCATCTGCAGCCTGACCCCAGGGTTCATGTGGATGATTGCCTGGACATCGAGCAGTCAAGGTAGGGGCTGGGCGACTTCCGAGGAAGGAAGTTTTCTTAGGCCGAGATCCTCCGTA